TTTTCATAATAATGACATTTTGACAAATTAAACTTTCTTTCAACAAAGTAACAACATAACTTTCCGACTAATCTACCATGGGGTGGTTGATTACATACATCATTTAGAACACTACACGAAACAAAATGTCTATTAATATCTTGATTTGATAAGAAAACATGTTTCAATAGGAGACATTGGAAGAAGTCGATATAGCATCTAGTATCAAATATTAAAACAAATCTTAAACATACATTATGTAATAGCTAGATCGACAATAATATTTATTTAGTGTTTTATGTTATATATCCGTCATTTTAGACTAACACCATTTGTTTCCGTTTAAAAATCCCTGCAAATCGTGTGTGAGCCAAAATATTCGATTCTAATGCTTTTACGTTTTAAATACTGAAATTTACTCATCAAGCTTATTAAAGACAATTAGGTGATACGTCGAGTTCTTGATGAGAACGTATATCAAGCTACCAAATAAACCTGACCGTAACCATTATATTATGTTTATGCTAACCACGGGAAAAATACTGGTTGATTGACAAAACGGTAATTCGGTGTATTATATGTGTATTATACACGCCTTGTTGTTAATAATTATATTTTCTTGGTTTGTTAGACATATCACCTGGGTTCATGACTTGGAAATGATATGTTGTTATAATTTATTTCAGGTAGCGGTAACAGTCAAGCAGGTGAGTGCATAAAGTTTATCAAAAAAAACAAAAAAAACATGATCACTCACCGACTGGTTGATTAACTTGATTTACAAATAACAAGGGCGCCTATAAAAAATCTAATCAAGAAAGTTAAAACAATACAAAAGAAAAACACAAATTTTAACCACTCAAAATGAGTTGGGGCATCTAGTATCAAATATTAAAACAAATCTTAAACAAACATTATGTAAGAGCTAAATCTGCCAATTGATGTCTTTCTTTAGGTCTGAAATGTTATCTAAATTAATAATTAGGCATTATTAGTTAACTTGTCCAGACCATAATCACCTGTCGATGCCATCGCTAACCTACGGTATTTAGGGGATTGAAATACATAATGTGAATGATAATTAAAACGTAAAAATTGATAATCGAGACTTTTGTTTTCTATGGTGCCGACTTTGGTAATGATGTTCGAGGCTAGCCTATATATATATATCCAAAATTATTAGCACAACCGCAAAGCTGCACTACTTTGTTTCACGGTAAATGATGAAAAGATAAAAAAAAAGGTATGCCAACACAAACTGATTTCAACACTGGTTTAATAACATTTTAACATTTTAAAGTACTTTTCGTCCGTCTTGGGACTATTCATAAATAATGTCATTGTATAAATATATACTTCCAACAAATCACGCAGTTATTATTTAAATCTGGTTTGCTTTTTTTCTGAGAAATCTATTTTACAGCAGCACTCACTATGGCATTGCTCTGTTTAGATTCGTTTCAAGTATTCAGACGATTGTCATTGAATTTGGCGAATATAAATACACACCGATTGATGAGAAGCATTCAAGCTTGCTATACACCCTATTTACCTTTTTTTCAGCAATATATATTTTGTTATTGTTCTTGGGGGCGACCCTTGTCCAAAAATGCCTAAGGCTTCGCCAAATTAATTGTAGGCTCCGACTAACATGATTATTCCTTGGATAATTGTCCAGGGATTGGCTGGCTTTCATCATGGTTTCCATTTCATAACACGCTTGTTCTTGTTAAAGTACAATAACGTGTCAATTATTATTTCTATTTCCTGTCTCGTGTCTTTATGCTACTAATTGATTATAATATTATCTTATAGCTTATTCGCTGAAACCTAGTACCGCTATTTTAATTACAACACCCCAACCGGCTAGGTCTATTAACACTATTATCCTTTAGCTTTAACTAATTAATTCACAGCTTAGATCGACAATAATATTTATATATTGTTTTATGTTATATATCCGTCATATGTTTCCGGTTAAAAATCCCTGCAAATACCCTTTTTGTGAGAGCCACAATAATCGATAGAGAGAGAAATGGGGTTTAACGTCCACTCTACACAAACTAGGTCATTTTGGGAATAACTTATGGTTTAATTGTATTTCAATAATTCGCTTGCGCGTAGGGATATTTAGCAGTGGGAGGAAACCCTTTTTGTGAGAGCCACAATAATCGATAGAGAGAGAAATGGGGTTTAACGTCCACTCTACACAAACTAGGTCATTTTGGGAATAACTTATGGTTTAATTGTATTTCAATAATTCGCTTGCGCGTAGGGGTATTTAGCAGTGGGAGGAAACCGGAGGACCCGAGGAAAACACATGAGGCGATACTAAGGATTTTGTGTTTTTATTAAATTTTAATTCTGGATTTTACACATCAAGTATTTTAAAGACAATTCCACAACTGTTAAGTTATATGTTCATGCTCAATCAGCAATGGGGAAAATACTGGTTGATTGACAAAACGGTAATTCGATTTCGTATGTGCTTATTATACACGGCTTGTTGATAATTATATTTTCCTGGTCTGGTAAAAATATCACCTGGTGTATGACATGGAAATGATATCTTGTTATAATTTATTTCAGGAATCGATATCAGTACATAATGATTATCAAAATATCTAAGACACATGTCTTCCAAACACAAAGAGAGAGAGAGAGGGAGGGCGAGAGAGAGAGAGGAGAGGGGAAATGGGGTTTAACGCCCACTTGACACAAACTAGTTCATTTTGGGACTAACATTGTTCGTTTTTTTTATATTTCAAGAAATCGCTTGTGCCAGTTTTCCAAATAAAGAGGCACATAGTAACTAGTCTTTCATTTGAAAATACGGGTTAAATAATGTCACAATAATGGAAAAGAACAATCAAAATTAAGTCCTTAAAGTTAGAAATGTTATCAGATGATCTAGAAAGTGTGCGAACTGGAAAGTAAGGATTGTATTTTACTTTATTATATTGAGGTACAGATATCGGTGCTATATTGTCCCCATATTACGTATACAGGTAGGGGGTGATGGCCGATGGCCGAATAGTTAGCGTGTGAGCGCTGTGTCATAAGGTCTTTCATTGAGTCAACTGTCGTGGTTTCGATTCCCCGATTGTACCTGACAAGGAGTTAGGTCACTTCCGGTTACCTCTCACTGCTAAAGACCCCTACGCGCAAGTGAGATTTTAAAATAAAATTCAACCATATGTTAGTTCTGAAATGACCTAGTTTGGGTCGAGTGGACGTTAAACCCCATTTCTCTCTCTATCAGGTAGACATGTTTGTGCTGGTCACGTGATCTTGTATTGTAACTCCCTCTACAACATTATTATATTGAATGACTTAGTGTATCAAATTTAGTTTAATATATCGATGTATTATATAAACAATTGGGTTGATGACCGATTTACCAGTCTCAAAGTTGTTCTGTACCCAGTTGTAGCTTTCAGAAATCCTAGTCCACACTATTGCTTCAGTTAGCTATTGCAAGAGGCAAGGTATGATTACTTTATTTGTGAGATTTGTTTTCATATCATCTGAGGAACTAATAATAGAAGGATAATCATGACGTAACTCTGTAGTGGCACAATAACACTGACAAACGTTTGCTGTACTTTTGTGGTAAATGCCAAAAATACAATGCTTAATATCAAACGACATTGATTTGTCGAAAATAACACCATTTCAGTATTCAGTGTTGAGCCATTATGGATACTTTGGGGTATGAAATAAATTCAAACCTCACTTGACATATATATCTTTATTTATAGATTCATCAACATCTACAACAGGAAGTACACCTTCAGGTAACTATTTATAACTTAATTCATCCCTTTAATGTGTTCAATCATGGTTGTTTGAATTTCCACAACAACCATAAAGTTGCCAGACAACCACAAATAAATTATATTTAAATAGCACCCTTTCAGTGTTACAAGGCCGTTGTATGAACCATAAATTTGGTTCAGACATTATGGATTTTATGGTCCATTTAATGAATTCAAACCATATCATGTTCTTTTTTTTATTGATTCATCAACTTCTATAACAGGAAGTATAACGACAGGTAATTATTTTATACATATATGAAACACTATGCCTTTATCACACTATGCTACGCTATGCTATGCGTCGCTGGTTAGATATGGAAATACGGACTACCAGAAAGCTCCCCACATCCAACATGTGATGGATACTCACTTCTCTTCCACACTATATAATAATATTGTCTCTGGTTATTTGTATAATTCTTTACTCTAGGACTCCACTTTAAACATTGTGTATATATCTGGAACACTTTGATGGTTAACTATGGTTTTATATCTTTGTAACATCCATAATACAAAGGTTATATACAGGAAACTACACACACAGCTATGCCATTAAATATAAGTTAAATATAAGTTCTCTATCCCCTAGTTTGTAGTTTGCGGCGGTCTTTCCCAGCCCCTCATCCTCTGAGGGAACGTCCTTCTGAGAATACGAAATGATGCCCAAAGAAACTTAAATCCCGCACGTTCTTTATAAAGAGGATACGTGCATGCGTCCTGTATTCACCCCCGGGAAAGTTGACCAGGTACTCCTTTACCTGTTTGATCAGCTGCACAGAAACTACCCTGAATTTCAACACAGTGTAAATGGGCACCCCGGAGGGTGGATGTCCACGTTTCTAACGCATGGGATTGCCATATTTGGATTACCAGACGATTATGTCATTGCCCGATTTTAATCTACCAGACATATCCTTGTTAGCCTAGTTCTCGTTGTCACTGGTACTATCTAACGACTTTAATACATTAACCAGAACATCTTTTAAGATAACTTAAATAATCTCTACAGTATATAGTCTCTATATTATTACATATATGAATCTTCCATGTTTTCAAGCTTAGTTGTTTCAAATCCCTCAACAAGGCCGTTGTATTCACCATATATTTGGTTCCGACATTATGGATGTTATGGTCCATATAATGAATTCAAACCATAGCATGTTCTTTATTTATAGCTTCATCAACATCTACAACAGGAAGTAGAACCACGGGTTATTATTTTTATACCTGTGTTCAGTCCTGGTTGTTTTAATTTACACAAAAACCATAAAATTGCCCGACAACATTAAATTCATTATATTTTAAATAGCACCATTTCAGTGTAACAGGGCTGTTGTATTAGCTATATATTTGTTGAAACATTATGAAATGATTTCAAACCTCACTTGACATATCTGTTTTTAATTATAGAATCATCAATTTCTACAACAGGAAGTACAACTACAGGTAATTATTTTATACCTTAATTCACCTCTTTAATTCAGGTGAACATAAAATGTCGATACTCTGGTGTATGTAATGAATTCAAAGCTCACTTGAGATCAATTTCTTTATTTATAGAATCAACAACTTCTACAACAGGAAGTACGACTACAGGTAATTATTTTATAACTTAACACACCTTTTTACTTCAGGTGAATATAAAATGTTGATTGTTTTTTTGATTTGATGTGTTATTTAGGTGGGCAAGTGGAATTCTTTTAACATTTCGGCAGAGTAATGGAATTTGACTGCTGGCATAAGAACAAAAAATATCATGAAATGACATTGCCAATAATATTCGGATGTTTAATGTCAGTATACAAATAGGTTTTAAATGGTAATAGTTTGATTTACAGAAACGATAACAATAATGTTATTAAATCATTAATATTAACCCTGTTATAGTTCTAAACATAAAAATATTCAAACTACTTTTTGTGTTTTTATTGTAGATCTCACAACAAGAGCTGTAAATAAAACAGGTCAGTATAAACTGTAGTAATATCTAAGTTTTTAATTTCTCTCAAGTGTTTTTTTTAACCGAATGTGAATCATGTTTATGTTATTGCTAATAAAATTATAAAGATTTTTGTCGTATTTATATTTACAATCTATTTCTTCCTGTATGTAAACATAATATAATAAGCTAACTATAAAATAATAGTTGTGTACATATAGCTCTAAAGATAACAATATTTAAACAACCCTTTGTATTTTTATTGTACATCCCACAAAACGCGGTCTGAATGAAACAGGTCAGTATAAAATGATGTAAAAACAATTAAATATATAAGATCTATATTTCGCAAGTTTTTTTTAACAGAATGTAAATCATGTTTATATCATTGCTAATAAAATTATAACGATCTTTGTCCTATTTATATTTACAATCTATTTCTACCTGTATGTAAACATAACATAATAAGCTAAGTGTAAAATAATAGTTGTGTACTTGAATACAGACGTTAAATTACAATATTAGCGTCCATATAAGTTAAATATTTGATAGAACTGATGAAACGAATTCCAAATATAATATTTTATAAGTCAAAGATGTTTTATTGTAGATTTGTGCAACAATATTTAAAATGTAAATTAAGAATAAAAATTAATCAAAACTATAAAACTATATAATGCAGATTATAATATACAACTACAAATATATTGTAAATTATTATATTTACATACAGATGTCGGTGATGCTAATATAACACCGACTATACCATCTAAATGACTTCCAAAGTGTTCATCTATATATTGCATCACATTTTTGTTAACTAATCATTATTTGCTTGATAACGATACCTGTATGTGTATTGAAACGTAGCATGTTAATAAAATTTAGAAGAAGTATATCCATACACGTGTGTTAATTTTCATATAATCTATTTATATATGTCTTATAGGGATCAACTACATCTGTATCTAAATATATTAATATACAATATATATATATATAGCTAATAGTATATTAGTTATATAATTATGTATATTGTAAATTATTATATTTAGTTACAGATGTAGGTGGTATAGTTGGTGGTATATTAGTTATATATATGTATTATATATTATTATATTTAGATACAGATGTAGGAGGTATAGTTGGTGTTATATTAGTTATATATGTATTGTATATTATTATATTTAGCTACAGATGTAGGTGTTATTGTTGGTGGTATATTAGTTATATATGTATTGTATATTATTATATTTAGATACAGATGTACGAGGTATAGTTGGTGGTATATTAGTTATATATGTATTGTAAATTATTATATTTAGATACAGATGTAGGAGCTATTGTTGGTGGTATATTAGATATATATGTATTGTATATTATTATATTTAGATACAGATGTAGGAGGTATTGTTGGTGTTATTTTAGTTATATATGTATTATATATTATTATATATACAGATGTAGAAGAAACTAATGTTGGAGGTATTGTTGGTGGAATAGTTGGTGTTATATTGGTTATTTCTATAGTCGGTGCTGTCATATTCTTTTGTAAAAGGTAGGTTTGTTGTGTGGAATTTACAAAACAAAATACCACTATATATAGAATGTGCTCAAATCTTGTGAAAAAGCTTTAAGCCCCCTTCTCAGTTGGCCAGTGCACGCTTTAAAACATAAAGATAATCTATTTGGAACACAATCGATGGTGAATATACATAATCTATATGTTTTTTTATATTCCATATAATTTTATATTGATCTGCACCGCTCGACCATAAAGACTAGTACCCATTTACAATACTATCAGATCATTTTCATAGTGAGAATTCCCCAACCATTATCAGTCTGTCAGATAGACTTGACAATTTATATATATTTATTCTTATTCTAGGAGAGGCCAAACAGATAAGTCACCGACTAAAGCTGTCCATGTTAGTAGAAATGTTCCAAATCAACGACATCCAACTGACTCGGCTTTACCTAGAAACAAAACACCTCATTATTCAGATACCGAGTTGGACAATACCACGTGCCCTTCAAGTGATCATTATAATTATACTGGCGAGGATAACTACCACCATATTGGAGGGAACCAATCAAACACCGTTACTGATGATGCCTATAACCATATTGGTGAACATAATAAAACTGGACTGGATAGTGGTGGCTACCATCATATTGGTGGAAATCGCGGACGTCAAGAGATAACGGACGTTACTTACAATCATATTGGTGGTAATCATGGACACCCAGTTGTTGCTGATGATACTTACAACCATATAGGGGGGAGTCATGGACATCCAGTTGTGGCTGATGGTACATACAACCACATTAGTGATAGTAATGGACACCCAGTCGTGGCTGATGGTACATACAACCATATTGCGGATAGCCATAGACATCCAGCCATGACTGATGGTACATACAACCATATTGGTGATAGTCATGGACATCCAGTCGTGGCTGATGGTACATACAACCATATTGAAGGTGATCATACCGTTGATAAACAAGAAGGGGATTATTCATTGGCTAAACATAATTAATATATATATTTTTCACTGGGTACTAAACATAATTAATATAAATAAATCACTGGGTAATAAAAATAATTAATATAAATATATCACTGGGTACTAAACATAATTAATATTATATAAATATATCACTGGGTACTAAACATAATTAATATACTATAAATAAATCCCTGGTTACTAAACACTATTTATAGTATGTAGAACAAGAACAGTAAATTATTGTTTTACTTATACTTGTTAAATAATAAATTAGCATATCTATTGAACATGATTATAGACCGTGGATACGGTTGCTACTACGAGCTCTGGTTTGCGGTCGTGGTTTCGATCTCTGAGCGTATGTGGTTTGGAGATAGGGACGCCTTCTCAACCTCGTTGGTTTACTTTGGGTACTTCGGTTTCCTCCTACAGGAAAGACCCCTGCGCGTGCACTAAAGGTTATAAATTTAGACAACTTAAACACTAACAAGGGCTGATACAAGGTTACTCGCACAACACTTGTCTTCCAGTACATTTAACCTGACATTATACAATTTAGTGGATTTATTAAAGTAAAAAAAAACTATATTTGAGGGTTGATATATCCTTGTAGCAACTATATTCGGAGACTATTATTACCCGACCTAATAAATAATTACAAATTATTCAAAGTTATGTGTCACAATGGTCTTATGCTGCATAATATACTTACAGTCATCAATTTTGATGTTATCTTGTATATTAAGTGTCGATTGCGTCGTTTGTAGAGGTAAATTTATGCTAATTCTGTTATTGGTTAATGCGGTTTGGCATGGAAGTTCTTTATTCAGTTTTTTAAATTCGTAATTCTTAATTGAAAGTCGTTAATCATTATTTCTTCATTTGTTGTCGTATTTGACATTTGTAGACTAAATTTAACCCAATACTAAAAATAGACTACGTTCAATTTATTCTGTTTAATGCTAGATCAGATTAACCCATGCAGTTATACATATAGAAACATAACTCTATAGATTAGCCATGCCACGCACGTGATTTCACTACAGTCACGGTTATCGAGTGTATGTTTGCTCATTTCACCATTATTGTATAGTGACTTACTGTATTCCAGGTAGAACTCGGCTTAGCACTAGCGTCCTTTGTCATCATAATGTTGAGGTTCGATGAATTTGGAGAAATGGTTTGGGAGAAATGTTTTGCAAGATTGGTATTTGGAGATTTGTTTTCGTTGTATGTCTATGATGAAATCTAAATGTGGGCCAAGGTTTTGGATTTTCTAACATAAACCTTATCTTTATGTTAAAATACAATTAAATTAAACAAAAAAAACAATTTACTTATCTGATATACAACTTTTGATTTGAGTATACAAATGTCGAAATACGACTACAAATGAAGTGTTTAGAATTAAGAACTGCGAATTAAAAACTAAAAATGAAGAACATTGAATAGAGACCTGTATGGTCTCCCATAGCTTAATAATAATAATAATAATAATAATATCTTTATTTAAAAAGGGTAAAGGATTAGGCTGTGGGTGCTTTTCTACCATCCTGCCCTTCATGAAAAATATAATACAATAGATGATAGCATAACAAATAAAAGAGAGGGATGAATAGGAGTATAAAATAATCAGAATGAAATTATAATACAAAAGATGACAGCACCAAAGGAGACAGATAAAATAACACATACCCCACCCCCCCCCAAAAAAACAAAAAAAACCCACATATAACTAACAATAGCAAAAGGCATAAAAATACATTATTTTATATATGGGCATACATGTAGAGGGTACCAGTATTATTCTTTAACAGTAAAATATTTAAAAAGTTGTTTCTTGAAAGAATTTAGGTTAGTGGTCAGTTTTAAGTATGATGGTAATGAATTCCATAGGTTTGAGCCTTTAAAACGGATGCTGTTTTTTTACAATATTAAGCTTTGGCCGCAGAGTGATAAGTTTGTTATTAATGTTGGTATAGGGAGTTTCATAGAAAGACAAAAGATTGAACAGATAAACAGAACATTGCTTGGATAAAATTTTGGAAATAAAGTTACATAAATTGCATGTTGTAAAAGTTTCAAGGAAGTTATTGTTGGGTACAGTTCAGCGGTATGATCGACATTAAGCAGTAGTTTAAAGGCCATGATTTGTCGTCTAGAAAGACATTCAAGAGATTTGGAGTCACAGGAGTCCCAGATTGGAGAACAGTAATCAAAATGTGTCTGAATATGAGCATTATAAAAAAGAGTGCGGTAGGAGAGAGGGAGATATTGTTTAATCTTACGGAGAAGGAAAAGTTTCTGATTTAATTTTTTAGAGATATATTGAATCAAGTTAAATTATGATTTAAAACGACGCCTAAAAATTTAAAGGATGAGACTACTTCTATTGATTCATTGTCGAGTTTTATATCAAGAGTAGTGGGGAGAAAATTTCTTTTTTGGTGGGTTGTAAAGAGCATTGCTTTAGTTTTTGATATATTAAGTTTCATTCCGTTATGGTTACACCAGGCTTTTATTCTGTCGGCATAAAGCTGTAGTTTTGTTTGGAGAACTTCGACGGTTGGGCCAGAGGTGTAGACTGTCGTATCATCAGCAAAGAGGTCAGTTTTGGAAGAGAGATTTAATGGCAAGTCATTAATGAAAATATTGATCCTTGGGGTACGCCATAGTGAGTAGGCTTCATAGCAGATAGTTCACCATTAATGAAAGTACACTGGTTTCTGTTTTTTAAGTAGGATTCTAAGAACTGTAACGCATTTTGAGAAAGTTTAAGATATCTGCATTTCGTCAATAAAAAATCATAATTGACCAGATCAAAAGCTTTTTTAAAGTCACAAAATATTGTACCACAAAGAAGATTATTATTTATAGCATCATATATATTTTCCATAATGTGAGTTAGGGCTGTAAGGCAAGCGTTTGATGTTCTGAAACCGGACTGATTCATATACAAGAGGTGATATTTATTTAAATACTTACTAAGATGCCCGTGTATATGTCTTTCAAGGACTTTTGATACAGTTGAGAGAATAGATATAGGCCTATAGTTATTTGGGTCATCCTTAGCTCAAATTTTGGTAATTGGAATCACTTTAGCTTGTTTAAATGACGAAGGATAGGTATTGTATTTTATTGATAGGCTGAAGACATGGGTTAGACTGTGGGAAAGATGATCTGCGCCCAACTGAAGAAACAGTGGATTTACCGAATCCAAGCCTACTGCCTTTGACACGTCAAGCGACTGAAGAGACTCTCTTGGAAATACCACTTATCATTGGATGCTTCATACGGGGATTTCCAGTATTCTATTTTAGACGACTTTATTTTTGTATCAACATTTGAGACTGTTTATAGATTGATAGTATTATACCATTTGTATTAACTGTGTCATACATTATACATAAAAAATAAAAACACATACTTATGGCAAACAGCTACTAGTGTATTTAATACGATGTTTTGAAGAGTATTATCGACCTGATACAGCAATATATATACGAAGCAAATACACTATTAGCTATTTTCCATAAATGTGTGTTTTTGACTTTACTCTATCGAATTACTTAATGCCATTTAAAGATTAAATTATACATTGTAACATTTTGTATTCATTATGCTATACATTGTAATATTTTTGTATTGATTGTGTTGTAAATTATAACATTTTGTTTTAATTCTATTATAAATTGTAGCATTTTGTATTAATTCTGTTATACTAATATTTTTGTATTAATTTTGTTTTAAACTGAAACATTTTGTAGTAATTCTGTAGTAATACATTGTAATATTTTCTATTAATTCTGTTATAAACTGTAATATTTTCTATTAATTATGTAACATATCATAACATGTAGTGGTTATTAAACATCAAATCTCTGGTATAACATATCATACATAACATGTAGTGAATATTAAACATCATATCTGGTTTAAACAATATTTTATTTCTATTATTTCATAATTATTTACAATACTCATATTGTGGATCTGAAAACAAGCCATAGCTTATATAAATTCAACTCCATGTAAATTGTAAAATTCAATAACATTACTAAAATGTACAAATTTCAAAGGTATTATATCTTACATTTTTATAAATAAAAAAAAAAATAAATATATAAATAATTAAATTAATATAAATAAACATATAAATAAATAAATCATCTTCAAGGTCATCATCATCACCATCATCACCATCATCACCATTATTTAACATTAATCGCCGTCGCCTGCCATTCTATTCAAAACGCTTGGTTAGTCTTAAATACTTGTGAACTTTACTAAAAATCATTTATTTTTGTATCAACATTTGAGACTGTTTATAGATTGATAGTATTATACCATTTGTATTAACTGTGTCATACATTATACATAAAAAATAAAAACACATACTTATGGCAAACAGCTACTAGTGTATTTAATACGATGTTTTGAAGAGTATTATCGACCTGATACAGCAATATATATACGAAGCAAATACACTATTAGCTATTTTCCATAAATGTGTGTTTTTGACTTTACTCTATCGAATTACTTAATGCCATTTAAAGATTAAATTATACATTGTAACATTTTGTATTCATTATGCTATACATTGTAATATTTTTGTATTGATTGTGTTGTAAATTATAACATTTTGTTTTAATTCTATTATAAATTGTAGCATTTTGTATTAATTCTGTTATACTAATATTTTTGTATTAATTTTGTTTTAAACTGAAACATTTTGTAGTAATTCTGTAGTAATACATTGTAATATTTTCTATTAATTCTGTTATAAACTGTAATATTTTCTATTAATTATGTAACATATCATAACATGTAGTGGTTATTAAACATCAAATCTCTGGTATAACATATCATACATAACATGTAGTGAATATTAAACATCATAATTGGTTTAAACAATATTTTATTTCTATTATTTCATAATTATTTACAATACTCATATTGTGGATCTGAAAACAAGCCATAGCTTATATAAATTCAACTCCATGTAAATTGTAAAATTCAATAACATTACTAAAATGTACAAATTTCAAAGGTATTATATCTTACATTTTTATAAATAAAAAAAAAAAAAAATATATAAATAATTAAATTAATATAAATAAACATATAAATAAATAAATCATCTTCAAGGTCATCATCATCACCATCATCACCATCATCACCATTATTTAACATTAATCGCCGTCGCCTGCCATTCTATTCAAAACGCTTGGTTAGTCTTAAATACTTGTGAACTTTACTAAAAATCATTTCGTTGTACGAGTTACTTTCGTTGGGATCGCCATATAGGAACGCTTTTGTACGTATGGATTTAAATGGAAGGGTATTTAATGTTGATATACGCTGAGACAAATAATTTGGGCAGTGCAAAAAGTAATGGTCGCTGTCTTCTTGAGTATGTCCACATCTGCATGTCGGATTTTGTGAAATATGCATTAAAAATCTATGGAAGTTTAGAGCACTTTTACATTTACGAAGTCTGGAATGTATAATCTGAAATTTACGATCTCCATAGTAATAATATTTAGGTATTTTATGATCGTTCACACTTATCTTAATTTTAAAATTTTGAATAGTGGAGGCGTTTTGCGTATCGTAAGAAAGACTGTTCCAAAGGTCAATTGTTGAAGGTAAAAATGAGTTTTTATAGTAATTAGTGTTAGAAGATATATTTTTTAATTTATTGTTATTACGAACAGGGTAAGGATTTACTTCGGAGATTTTAGGTGGTACTAGAAGACTTAAGAAAGGGGGAACCAATTTATTAACCATTTTATACATAAGGTTAAGCTTGTGCCTTATACGTCTTGTTGATAGTGGGTTATATCCGGATTCATAGTAAAGTACATTATGGGAAGTGCCTCGAACAAGACCTGTTATCGTTCTCAATGCATCTAGATGGAGATTTTCTAATTTTAATGACTCAAATTTGTTACAGTTGTCCCAAACCACGTCAGCGTAGTCGAATAAGGGCAAAATAAATGTATTGTAAATAATCTCTAAAGACTTACGAGAAATACGATATTTTAAGCCACGGAGACAGTCGATAGAGCGTTTGACTTTAGATATTACATATTCAATATGGTTATCCCACTGACAATTACTTTGTAAAATAAGACCAAGGTGTTTGTGGTATATCGATTCCTTAATTCTTACATTGTTAAAATTTAATTCAAAAGAGGTTTGGAATTGTTTTCTAGAGAATGTCATGGAAACTGTTTTTAGGGGGTTAAATCGTACTTTCCATTTAGTCGACCAGCTGTTAATCAAATTCAGATCTAAATTCATTACATTTTCACATTCGCCTGGGTTTTCAATAGTTAGATACAACGACGTATCGTCTGCAAATAAACGTATATTAGAATTGATATTTTCAGTAATGTCATTGATATATATAAGGAAAAGAAGTGGACCCAATACTGATCCTTGGGGAACACCTGCGGTTATATTATTTAAATTAGAGCTTTCACCTTTAATAACTACTGATTGTTTTCTATTCGTCAAATAATCTGATATAAGAGTTAAAAGTTTACCTCGGATACCGATGCAACTCAGTTTGTGAATCAGACCCTTATGCCACACACGGTCGAACGCTTTACTAATATCACAAAATATGGCTTTTACTTCTTTACCGTTATCGAGAGCCGACGAAATATAATCATATATACTATTCAAAAAAAGTAGGGGATATTTGATTTTTAAGTGTTATTAAAGTCACCTAATGAAACTGACGAAGAAACAAATGACAAAATGAAATGAAGTTCACATTCAGCGATTTATTCCAAATGATCGTTAGACTAAGTAAGGCACAGACTGACCATTATAAGGGTAAAATGATACCCGGGGTCAAACAGCAAAGTTACCACAGCATCACAACCAAGTCAGTAACGGGTAAATCCTCCTCTGTTTGCCAAACAAGCATTGATCCGACGTGGCATACTCCTAATGAGACGTCTAAGGTCATTTTGGTCCAGATTGTCCCATTCCTGTTGCAACGCAGCAGCAAGTTCTTGGACATTGGCAGGACGTTGTTGACGTTGACGTAACCTCTGTCCAAGCATGTCCCAGACATGCTCGATGGGGGAGAGGTCGGGACTCAGTGCTGGCCAAGGTAATGTGGTGATGTTCTGTTGTTGGAGGTAACCTGTAACGATCCTGGCCCTGTGACATCTTGCGTTGTCATCCTGGAAGATGAAACGGCGGCCATGACGTCGTGCGAACGGCACAACATGGACTGCCAAGATGTTGTCCCGGTAGTACTGGCCTGTAACACGCCCTGCAACAACATGTAAAGCCGTTCTTCCAGCAACAGTGATGCCTCCCCACACCATAACAGAACCACCCCCAAATCGATCATGTCTGATGACGTTAACGTTTTGGAAGCGCTCGTTTCGACGACGCCACACCCTCCTACGTCTGTCCAAAAAATCAACAGTGAACCTTGACTCATCTGAAAACATCACATTGCTCCAGCGTCGATTATCCCAGTGTTGACGATCCCTACACCAACGACGTCTTGCCTGGATGTGATGATCTCTCAAACAAGGGATCACGCGAGGACGTCGGGCGCGAAGGTGACCCCTATGCAGTCGATTCCGAATCGTCTGGCCACTCACTCTCACACCAGTGTCTGTTTGAAGACGAGCGCTGATCTGATTTGCTGTGATGACACGATTTCTCAAGGCCAAGGTACGGATAAATCGATCCTGGGCTTGAGTTGTCGCCCTTGGTCGACCTGAGCGTGGTCTGTCCTGTACAGATTGTGTATCACGGTATCTGGACCATAGCCTGCTTATGACAGACTGAGAAACATTCATCGTCCGCGCCACAACCGCCTGTGTTGTGCCGATCTGTAGCATGCCAAGGGCACGTAACCTTTCATTTTTGGTAAGCCGACGCATATCAAAATTTGTTTTCTGGTCACTAAAACAATTAAACTGATGTTTCCACCCTGGAATTCAATGCCACAATGACTGTAACATTCAAAGTCAGAGTCGTGCAAATCTTGGGTTGGACCCCCATGATGATCCCAAGCATCACCTGCATTCCATGCGGTAGCTATTGGTGCGTTTGGGCGTCACATGTAACTGGAAATGTTTCTTCTGTTAGGTTCTATAGTGACTTTTTTCGTAGTCATTTGCATATTTTAGTATTATGCCCCCAAAATCAAATATCCCCTACTTTTTTTGAATAGTATATGTCAATTAATTGATAAATAGTACAGTCATTTATTCTGAATCCCGATTGCAGAGGGCTTAATAAATGATTGGTTAATAGAAAATTGTGTATATCTTTGTAAATTAGTCTTTCAAAGACTTTTCCAAGTAAACTTAATAATGATATAGGTCTATAATTCGCGGGATCGTGAGTATCCCCTTGTTTAAAGATTGGAACAACGATAGCCTGTTTCCATATATTCGGAAATACAGTTGTATTGTGTAGGAAATTAAACAATGCAGAAAGGGGCTGGCTTAATGACGTAGCACAATTTTTCAAAATAATGTTGTTAATTCTGTCAGGTCCACTGGCTTTATTTGTCGATAGTGAGATCAGCTGATCGCGTACCTTAGCCGTTGTGTAAACTGGCTGCTCAATTTCAATCGGATTAACATAAAGTTCCGGTGGCTCATCGTTAGCATTCTCAAGATGAGATTGACTCGAAAAATAATCGTTTAAAATATTAGTTTTTTCACAATCACCATAAAATAGTATATCATTGACTTTCAGGGAAGGGATTTCCGTGGAGGATTTGCCGGTATGAAAAGCATGACTTTTAATAAGTGTCCACCAAGCCCGTTTATCAAATCTATCAGAGTTAATTTTATTATCAATGTTATCGTAGTATTCCTTTTTACTTTTTCTCACTTCAGATATGACAAAATTTCTGTATTCACGAAATAATTTCCATGTATCAGGACAATTATGGACTTTGGCACTGTTATGAATTCTATTACGTTTGCGTATTATACGTCTCAGGTAACCGTTCATCCAAGGAACGTCACGTGGTCTCATAACAACATCTTTATGAGGTACAAATTTATAAACTCCTTCAATAATTTTATTTGAGACACACTCTGCTACTGAGTTTGGAGAACTGACATTATTAAATAAAATATCCCAATGAGTTTCAAGATAGAATTTGTTCAAACATGTAAAATTTGTATGCTCATAATTCCAAATAGTACGCCTAAAACTTTTACATGATTTTATGTTGAAAGCTAAATCTAGTTTTACTGGACAATGGTCACTTAAGTTGCATTCAAGAACTTCAGTTTGTTTTATAAAGGCAGGACACGTAACAATAGCAAGATCTAAGAGTGTTGCCGAACTAGGAGTAATACGTGTGGCATTTTTAACTGTTTGTGTAAGATTGAACCGATGTATGATAACATGGATTTTACTGGTATTATTGGTTAAGAAATCAATGTTAAAATCACCAAGAATAATACATGGTTTATTTGAGTCAATAGCTAAAACTAAACTTTCTTCTAATAATTTCCAATATGACGTAGTCGACGTTGGTTTTCTATAAAATGTGCCTATTAAAAATGAATTTTGGTCTTTTGTTATTTCTACCCACGTGGCTTCAAGATCCAAGACTTCAAGGTCTTTACGATGTTTAAAATAAATAGATTCTTTAATATAAATAGCAACTCCGCCGCCAGTACCTATGTTACGATTGCATAATACGGGTGGGTGGTAACCTTTTAATTTCAGCAATTCGATATTGTACGAATTAGGAATCCAAGTTTCTGAAAAAGTTAGAATATCTGTTCCTAAAAATTCAGGTAGGATAAGGTCTAGTTTATTTGGGAGACTACGCACATTAAGATGGATGATAGAGAATGGCGGACCCGGATTGCTTTCTCTGGTATAACATATTATCACATGCGCCTGTAGTGAATAAACATCATAATATCTGATATGACATATAAGTGATTAAATATCATATATGTTTGGTATAACAAATCGTAACCTACACGTGTAGCAAATAAAATTGCCTTCTTAATGTGTTATGACCTATAAAAAAAATGCCGGTGTCTTGGACGAATTTTACACTGGGTTTTTAAAATTGTCCTCTTTATACAAGAACTCTTATCTGTTTTACCCCATTTTATTACTTCGTCATGCGTAAATAATCTTAACTGAATCAACCTATAATATGTATTGTATTGGACGTTAAATTTGTAATACACAATTATACAACACAGGTACACTATAATACTACACTACACGGCCATAATAATGTCATTTATATGTTTAAATTATACAATCCCATGTATAATGAAACCTACAATGTAAACACTCGTCAGCTGTTATCTTATTACGTCAGCTGTTACACATTGTTAAAACATAAGTTAACCAAATCGAACGCGAATGGCGTGTTATCTTATTATGTCAAGAATATTTTCATTACGTCAAATATTCTAAGGAACACACTGTTGATATATTGACAATACAATTCTCTGGGTAATTTATAGATAATCACGATATTTGATTCAAATAAAATTATTCTTCTGTCTAATATCCTTCACTTATTGAATACATTATCATTACCACGTTCGGAACATTGGTTCAGTACGTCATTTTATACGAGCAGAGGTTTCAGCAACTCTGGTACGATGTCTTAATCTGTTACGTCGAGACAACTGTAATAGTCTATTATTCATCGGCAAGATTGTTTCACACACTAAAATCGTCACCGAAGACGTATCTGATGTAGTTCCTGTTTAATTTATGTTCCTGTTCAATTTATGTAGCTGTTTTATATTCTGTTCCCTATGTAAATAAATCATATATTTACGAAACTGATATTCTGTTATCACTAATATAATAGTGTTACATTTCTTCCAGTTTTCAAATCGTCACTGATAAAATATCTGTTTCAACCCCATGTTTCCATGCGCTACCATATCCCGGAAGCAATGGCCTGAGAAACTCCCCTCTGGCCATTGCTGGAATGGCTTCTGATACTTGAGCTTTTGATGGAGTTTGTCTATTCTTCCCGTTAAATCAAATCTATCCCAAGTACAGCAACATGACAGCCCTTCTTTTAATCTTGGTCTTCCCTAAAACTTATGACAGTGATTTAAGGTATTAAAAACGGTGAAAGTATGTTCGTCTCCAAACAATATTGTTTACATTGTTTTCGATTTGATAGCCTCGTTTGTCACGCAATTAGTATTTCTGCAATATTCTGCTATGCACTGGTTAATTGGGCATAATAAAATCGTGAGTCATGACGTAACGTTATGTAAACATCTTTGGTCCAATTTGAATTCTGCTTTTGTAACGCAGTTAGCTATTGGTTGTTAATCGGACCATTAATCGGATCATTGACCAGTCATAAATTGGAACAGAAATTTTCCTTCGTTAAAGCATTGTTTAGTGGGATTAGGTATAATCAAACGAAACACTCCGAGGAATATTTGCGCTATGTACATACAGACAGTGTGGGATAGCCATACAAATGTTCATATTATTTATTTATTTATTTATTTATTTCCGTTAATAGCGCGACTGGGTGGCTCATTGGGTACAGTGTCGTGGTTTCGATCCAACACTGACAATGACCGGAATCGCTATCCTAACTTCGTTTGTTTGTCGGGTGGGTGGGCGGCGGGTCATCCGGGGTAATCACAATTTGGAAATCGAGTCAATATTAACATGTTATATCATTATTTTTTATTTTTTATTTAAAGTTACAAATATTTTCCTGAAATAGGTAAAAGTAAAATCACTGATTTACTATAGTACTGATAGTTGACAAAATTTACAAAAACAAATTCGAGGTCGAATTTAAAGATGGGTTCCCGCGTACAAACTCGGTGATTTAATGGTGTATATGGGCCAAAAACATATTCAAACTAATTAATTTGTCATAATTATGCTTCAAATCCTTCTCAAACATTGTAATTGCGAAGGAATGCCCTGCTATTAAAATTCGATCAAACCAGGTCATGTTTACGTCACGTCTTGGGAGTCAGAGGAGAATTCATTGCATACATAAGACAATGTTGTCTTTAATCGCTTACTATTTATTACAAATATCGAATTTTAATTAAATTCTCGGATTATCCACTACCCGCTTCTTTTTCCGTCATTTTTATCTCAGAAAGTATTGTACGTTTAACTCTTCATAAAGTTTGTGACCTTTGACATCACGCGTGCTGAAGTTCTTAATCGTCGGGCAGTTGATTAGGGGAACCCTTACATGTTTGTCCTGTATACGCTACATGAGTGGTTTTCGGGGAATCCAGTATTTTTCTAGTAAGATTGGATATCTCTACTTTCCATATATACCAAAATTGCCATGCTTTTATTGGAAATAACCACCCGATAAATACTTTTCTGGGAAACCATTTTTAAGTAATGGAGATGGCTGGATGTTTCGTCAATATGATATATGTATAGTCGAGCCACGTGGTAATAAAACGGGGATTACATTGCATAGTCTAAACAGGAAGTTAAATACCGATAGCGTTAATAGACTATGTTATAGACTCTGTAATATCACGTCTACTGTGTGGATCGGTGGTTATTTTAATAATATATATCAACATTTATCAACAATTTTTTTATCCATCTGTATTGGTGTTTGGATATTTATCTATGTCATGGATTAAGGTAAGAGATTGGATTAACATATTTAGATGTATTTTATATACATGTTTAACGTTGGTATGAACTAAGTCAACCTCAAAGGGACAATAAGCTCGTAATTGTATTCATATTGAATGTGACTCAGTAAGTGGGTCGACGATATAATAGACACTTTATTTTTACATTTAGTAAACACCATGTATATAGCTCACATTTAAAATAAAATAGAAATAGTGTTGTCAATTCGTAGGCTATAAATCAAATCATGTCCAATTTTTTATAAATATATTTCATACGTCACAATAAAGAATATTGTAGTTAATTACAAACCAAATAAATAAATTAAATTTCATTTATTCATTATTTTGTATACCCATTATAAGTTGCCGGCGGGGTATGCTTACTCTTTAAAAGGCATTTTATTTCTCTTCGTATTTTAGTAGTTAGGATATCTGAGACTGGTTGTACTTGTATAAGATATCTGAGACTGGTTATACTAGTATAAGATATCTGAGACTGTCTGTACTTGTATAAGATATATGAGACTGATTGTACTAGTATAAGATATCTGAGACTGGTTCTACTTGTATAAGATATCTGAGACTGGTTGTACCTGTATAAGATATCTGAGACTGTCTGTACTTGTATAAGATATATGAGACTGATTGTACTAGTATAAGATATCTGAGACTGGTTCTACTTGTATAAGATATCTGAGACTGGTTCTACTTGTATAAGATATCTGAGACTGGTTGTACCTGTATAAGATATCTGAGACTGGTTGTACTAGTATAAGCTACTTGTATAGGATATCTGTACTTGTATAAGATTACTGAAACTGGTTGTACTTGTAGGCCTGAAGTCCTTCGTAATAAAGGGTAGATTAATCTGCACAACCCCGAAGGTTTACTTCGAGTCCACTGATTGCCTTTCTCACACACAAAATTGGTGATTTCCTCGAATTTCAACTGTTCAGGGTTCTTTACGTGCACGCCATTGACTAAACGTGCCCTGCAGGCTGGTAAGTCCCGAGAAACTTTTTCAAGTAACGCCAGTGCCATTGGGCCACCGCAGCTCCATAGTTTTTTTTTATAAAAGTAATATAAAACATATGTGTAACACATATATGTGTGTGAAGACGTCCACGTCTCGCGTGTCTTTACCCTTAAAAATCATGTCTAAGTTTGTAAGCGAAATGTAGCTATGTGGGTAAGACGCTGGCTCACTAGCCTGGAGGTCGGGTGTTCGATCCCTGCATTGGCCGAGGAAGTTCATCCAGATTTTCCGGCGTGGTTTCCCCCTTGTCAGTGATGCAGAAAGGAGGGCCCGACAAGGACAGCTGTCTAGTCGTTCGGATGGGACTAAAAACCGAGGTCCCGTGTACAAATTGGCGTGCACGTAAAAGATCCCTTGACAGTTGGAATTCAACATAAGAGTAGGCTGTAGTGCCGCTGTCCGGGCAAAATTTTCCTCATAGCACTCTGAATGGCGTATGCCCGTCTTCATTAGCCCAGTTTGGGGCAGAACAATAGGACGTTAAACTCCATTATATTTCATTTCATTTCATAAAATATCAGGTTATGATATAAAATCATATCATGTAATAAAATCCCCAGTTTCATGACAAGCAGGATGTAAACTGGGTTACACTGTTTAACCTCGCGAACATTACTACCAGGATAAACGAATCAAGTTCCTACACGAAACCATTGAGCGTGTTATTTTTACAAATATCTCATTTAAAATAAAGTTAAACTCATCTAGCTAAGGAAAATCTAAACACGGACTAGTTAAGGTTACCCATGACACTATTCTGCGAATTCACTGAAAACAATATTAAAATTAGCGGCATACATTTTTCAGTTTAGTCAATCGGTCAAAACGCGATCTCAAAAGAATTAAAACGAAATGGGGTTTAACGTATTACTTGTCTGCACCGACTAGACTAATGAAGACGGTCTTGCGTCATACAGAAATTCCACTGTCTAGGGATCTTTTACGTGCACGCCAATATGTACGCGGGACCTCGGTTTTTCGTATAATCTGATCGACTAGACACTTTCCTTGCACCACTGTCAAGGAGAAACCGCACCAAAAAATTCCGAGGAACTTTTTTGGCCAACACCAGGAGCGAACCCGATACCCTCTGCTTAGTGAGCCAGTGTCTTACGCAATGAGCCACCGCGGCTCCCATTAAGCTGTGTTATAACAAAGGCTGTCCTAATTTAATATTTTGTGTTATCATTTCTAATTTTTATTAATTGAAATAGTATCTATTCAGAATTCTTATATACAATCATGAAGGGAATACTATGAATAAATTGAATGCTGTAACAAGCAACTTAATTTTTGTTAGCATCATGTGTAGCTAATATACACATTTTTCTAAAATATTTCAGAATATAGAGTTGTCAACACATCTACAGTGATATGATTATCTTCCACAGTGTAACTATAAGAAGAATGTAAAATGATAATGGGAAAAATTAAAGTATTATTGTTGTGTTGGTACCTGATATTGGTATATATTGTCGCACAGTCAGGTAATATATCAATAGACAAGTATTTACGAACGCTCCACAAAAGGTATGCCGACACATTGATTTGAACATGCATACGAGAATACCAAAATATAGGCGGATAATTAAAGTTTACGTTATCGCCACGTTATTGAACAGAATCAATATTATATTATGCTTTGAAGGAAATCTAAAACAAACTATGGTTTATGTAAACCTGTACAATTCCTTACAATTTAATTTTAAAGAATGGCAAAATATAAATTTGTTTTAAGGGAATATCGCTTTTTTACAGAACCACGATGTGCTTCTTCTCGGTTTGCGTCTCTTTTTTTTGACAGAAACATAAGTTGGTGCCGCACATAGTATATTGTTTCCTATTCAGATAGTGACATCTGAGAAAATTTTTGGGTAAACCGCTATTATAATGCACTGAATATAATGGTTAAAGCAATAATTAATGTTAATAATATTTATTCATGTTACAACCGAAGTGAACACATTTGCCTCCAGTATAGTTTAGTTGAAAGGAGTACTCATAGACAGAACATAATCCCCATCTTCATTATCCCGGTAGGAGTAGACCATATATGGCGTTAAACCCAACTTCATTTCATTTATTCAAGATCGTGAATTATTTACCTCAATATATGTTTTATTTTATAACTTGATATCATTAAATTGTTTTACAGAATCTAATGTTAGTACAGCTTGTTATGGTGCACCAGGTACAGGAAGATGTATTGAACATAAACTGATCTGTAGACAACCATTGTTTATATCAATAACTAATATAACGTTTGGATATAGACAAGGGTGTAGGGCTGCAGGTGTAGCTAGCTGTAGTAATACAACATGTTGTAGAGAACAACCTGGAGATTGTTTTACACCTTACAATCAATCTCTTCTATCACAAATGATTACATACATCATTTAGAACTCTACACGAAACAAAATGTCTATTAATATGTTGATTTGAAAATAAAAAATGTTTCAATAGGAGACATTGGAAGAAGTCGATATAGCATCTAGTATCAAATATTAAAACAAATCTTAAACATACATTATGTAAGAGCTAAATCTGCCAATTGATGTCTTTCTTTAGGTCTGAAATGTTATCTAAATTAATAATTAGGCATTATTAGTTAACTTATCCAGACCATAATCATCTGTCGATGCCATCGCTAACCGACAGGTATTTAGGGGATTGAAATACATAATGTGAATGATAATTAAAACGTAAAAATTGATAATCGAGACTTTTGTTTTCTATGGTGCCGACTTTGGTAATGATGTTCGAGGCTAGCCTATATATATATATATCCAAAATTATTAGCACATCCGCAAAGCTGCACTACTTTGTTTCACGGTAAATGATGAAAAGATAAAAAAAAAGGTATGCCGACACAAACTGATTTCAACACTGGTTTAATAACATTTTAACATTTTAAAGTACTTTTCGTCCGTCTTGGGACTATTCATAAATAATGTCATTGTATAAATATATACTTCCAACAAATCACGCAGTTATTATTTAAATCTGGTTTGCTTTTTTTCTGAGAAATCTATTTTACAGCAGCACTCACTATGGCATTGCTCTGTTTAGATTCGTTTCAAGTATTCAGACGATTGTCATTGAATTTGGCGAATATAAATACACACCGATTGATGAGAAGCATTCAAGCTTGCTATACACCCTATTTACCTTTTTTTCAGCAATATATATTTTGTTATTGTTCTTGGGGGCGACCCTTGTCCAAAAATGCCTAAGGCTTCGCCAAATTAATTGTAGGCTACGACTAACATGATTATTCCTTGGATAATTGTCCACGGATTGGCTGGCTTTGATTATGGTTCCCATTTCATAACACCCTTGTTCTTGTTAAAGTACAATAACGTGTCAGTTATTATTCCTATTCCCTGTCTCGTGTATTGATGCTACTAACCGATTATAATATTATCTTATAGCTTCTTCACCGAAACCTAGTACCGGTATTTTAAATACAGCAACACCACCAACGGGTAGGTCTATTAACACTCTACTATTATCCTTTAGCTTTAACGGTATACTCATTAATTCACAGTTTAAATATACAATAATATTTATATACTGTTTTATGTTAACACAATATATCCGGCATTTTATTATATTTAGATACAGATGTAGGGGCTATTGTTGGTGGAATAGTCCCCATATTACGTACATATGTTTGTGATGGTCACGTGATCTTGTATTGTAACTCCCTCTACAACATTATTATATTGAATGACTTAGTGCGTCAAATGTAGTTTAATTTTTCGATATATTATATAAACAAGTGGGTTGGTGATCAACTCTACCAGTCTCAAGGTTAACCTGTACCCATTTATATTGCTTCAGTTAGCTATTGCAAGGGGCAAAATATGCTTACTTTATCTGTAAGATTTGTTTTTATATCATCCGAGGAACTAATAATGGAATGATAGTCACGACGTAACCCTGTAGTGTCACATTAACACTAACAATCGTTCGCTCTACTTTTGTAGTAAATGCCAAATTCCAATGCTTAATAATAATCGACATTGATTTGTCGAAAATAACATTATTTCAGTATTCAGTGTTAAGCCATTATGGATACTGTGGTGTATGAAATGAATTAACACCTCGCTTGACATATCTATCTTTATTTCTAGAATCATCAACTGCCACAACAGGACGTAGAACTGCAGGTAATTATTTTATAACTTAATTCACCTCTCTAATGTGTTCAATCCTGGTTGTTTCGATTTCAACAACAACCATAAAAAATTCTTGACATAATTAAATAAATTATATTTTAAATAGCACCGTTTCAGTGTTACAAGGCTGGTGTATTTGTTATATATTTGTTAAGACATTATGGATACTGTGGTGTATGAAATAAATTAAAACCACATCATGTTCTTTATTTATAGATACATCAACTTCTACAACAGAAAGTCCAACGACAGGTAATTATTTTATACATATATGTAACACCATGCCTTTATCGCACTATGCTACGCGATGATATGCAATGCAATGCATCGCTGGTTAGAAGTGGAAAGACAGACTGACCGTCTAGTATTTTCACTGGTTATTTTTGTAATTCTTTACTCTAGGACTCCACTTTAAACATTTTGTATATATCTGGAACACTTTGTTGGTTAACTATGTTTTTATATCTTTGTAACATCCATAATACAAAGGTTATATACAGGAAACTACACACACAGCTATGACATTAAATATAAGCAAAATATAAGTTCTCTTTCCCAGTCTCTCAGCCTAGGAGGCTGAGGGAAAGTCCTTCTGGGAATACGGTAATTCATTTATAACTTAATTCACCCCTTTAATGTGTTCAATCCTGGTTGTTTTAATTTCCACAACCATAAAGTTGCCTGACAACATTAAATACATTATATTTTAAATAGCACTATTTCAGTGTTACAAGGCTGTTGTATTAGTTATATATTTGTTGAGACATTGTGGATCTTGTGCTGCATGTAATGAATTAAAACCTCACTTGACATATCTATCTTTATTTATAGATTCAACAGGAAGTACAACCACATAAATTATTTTATAACTTAATACACCGCTTTAATTCAGGTGAACATAAAATGTCAATACTCTGGTGTATGTAATGAATTCAAACCTCACTTGAGATCATTTTCTTTATTTATAGATACACCCACTTCTACAATAGGAAGTACAACCACGGGTAATTATTTTATAACTTCATACACCTCTTTAATTCAGGTGAACATAAAATGTCGATTGTTATTTTGATTTGATGTGTTATTTAGGCGGGCAAGCGTAATTCCGTTACGATTTCGACAGAGTAATGGAAATTGACGCTGGCATAAGAACAAAAAGATATCATGTAATAACCTTGTCAATAATATACTGATGTTTAATGCCAGTATACAAAAAAGTTTCAAACAGTAATAGTTTGATTTACAGAAATTAACTAATGTTATTTTTAAATCATTTTTATTAACATTGTAATAGCTCTAAAGATAAAAATATTTAAAAAAAAAACTTTGTATTTTTATTGTAGGTCTGAATAAAATAGGTCAGTATAAAATGATGTAAAAATAATTAAATATATAATATGTATGTCTGTAATTTCTCTCATTTTCGCAATGTAAATCATGTGCCAGAATTAGATACAGCATTAAATTGTAATCAATGCGATAATCTTAAGATATATTAATAACTGTATAAATTGAATTTTCATATACCCATAACTAATTTGCGCCCAAACGTAACTAAACAATATGTAATATAAACGTTCAAACAAATCAAATGCCAATCATATAACTGTAATAAATCCAGGGGGGGGGGGGAGGTTCCCGGGACGATATTTAGCCTACATTAATAAACCTATATTGGAGAATTATTTGGGGACTGTGTGAAACTCAACCCTGACTCTGTTCGGTATTAGTTTTTTGTATTCAGGTGATTATCTTTGATTTCAGCAAAAGACTGTAATCGTATTTCCCTTCATTGTTGTTAAATGAAATGTTTTTTGAAAGGAAAATATTATACCTTATCAGTAACTATCATTCTTAAAACTTTATATTACAGACACTCTATCAACTACAACAACAACAACATCGTTGGGTAGGTATTCTTTCTAACTTTAATCAAGCTACAGCTTCATCTAGTCTTACACGTGCACAGTATTAAACCAAAAGATCAACAGTAATATTGTTTTTTTATCAATAATTTTAATGGCTATGTTTGCAGTTACGGCGAGTTCTTGGCGTACTGGTCATGGAACTGTGGGTAAACAACTAGAAACGCCAATTAATCAATGTCTGCCGTCAGAGGGTCAAAAGCCGCTCGTATGACCTCTGATGCGACCTCTCACTACAACCGGTCAGATCTTCTTGTAGGGTAGGCCATCGAAACGACAAGAAATATAGATTGTCTTTAATCGGATTGTCTTCTTTTCTTATTACAAATGGCGCTCGAAGAAATCAGATTACACGACGTCTTGTACTATTTTATAATGTTCAGTTCAATGTGTTTTAAACATTGGATATAAGGATCACATATTTTCTCGGCAGAGTAACAATTTTGATAGTGACAGAGATTTATCAACAATGAATTCAAATTCATGTTTTTAATTTCCAATATGAGGGATGATCAAGCGAGCTCCAAACAGGCATTGTATGTTATATATGTATTGTATATTATTATATTTAGATACAGATGTAGGAGGTATTGTTATGTATTGTATATTTTTTATATAGATTTAGAGGATACTAATGTTGGGGGTATTGTTGGTGGAATAGTTGGTGTTATATTAGTTATTGCTATAGTCGGTGCTGTCATATTCTTTTATAAAAGGTAGGTTTGTTGTGTGGAATTTATAAAACAAAATACCACGATTGAATGTGTTCGGATCCTGTGAAGAAGCGTTAAGCCCCTTCTCAATTGGCTAGTGTGTGCTATAAAACACAAAGACAGTCTATTTGGAATATAATCGATGGTTAATATACATATAAAGGATCTGTTTTACATTCCATGTAATTTTATATTGATCTGCATCCGCTCGATCATGAAGACTAGTACTCATTTAAAATCCTATGAGATCATTTTTATAGTGAGAATTCCCCAACCATTATCAGTCTGTCAGATAGACTTGACGATTTATATATATTCATTCTTATTTTAGAAGAGACCAAACAGATAAGTCACCAACTACAGCTGTCCATGTTAGTAGAAATGTTCCAAATCAACGACATCAAACTGACTCGGCCTTACCTAGAAACATAACCCCTCATTATTCAGATAACGAGTTGGATAATACCACGTGCCCTTCAAGTAATCATTATAATTATGTTGGACAGACAACTGACGAGGATAACTACCACCATATTGGAGATAACTGGTGATGCCTACACTGTTAGAAATTTTTGTAAAATTACAGTAGTACAAGTAGTTTTTGTACCTTAATTATCGGTATGTTCACCACAATGTAGTAGTTTTACCAAGTCTGGCGTATTTTAACGGAGTTTCGTGTATGTTTACAGAGTTTCGTGTCTTTTTTTACAATAGACGGTGATGAAATCAAAGACACATTCAAAATCAGTAAAAATACATTCTTACATATGTAATATTTCCAAACTGAACTCAAAATAAACAAGCATGCATGTAATTTTACAGATCTTACGTTTATGCACATTATTTTGTAAATTTACTTTTAGGTTAGAAATATAAATAAAATTACAGCAGTTCTCACTATAATAGTTAAAAACTAGATAATGTAAAGGCAATATGCTCAAAATTTCTGTCAAATTGATCCACTCGGTACCGAGATATTAGAGACTGAATGTTAGGCCTAGCCTCGATCATCATTACTTATTAAGTCAGTACGATAAAAAAAAAACATAGTCTTGATTATCTATTTTTGAATTTAATCATTAATGAGCGTTGAGCCCCAGATCGGACTCAAATCCAGTGAAAATCCAACACATAAGATGGCATCCATGAGTTGATTATGGTCTTTTCATGTTAATAAATGTCTAATTCATAGTTTATAGAACATATCAGGCCTAAAGAAAGACCTGCAATAGGCAGATTTAGCTCTTGCATAATGTATGTTTAACTTATTGGTAGTTATCGTATTCGGTAAATTTATTGTCTCTTAGCAAGCAATTTTAGAGATTTTTACGTTTACTCACATTATTTTGTAAACTTTCAGGTTAGAAATATAAGTAAATTTACAGCAATTAAATTTTTACCAAAAATGTTCGGAATGTTTACCAAAATGATGTATATTTACCTAGTTTCATTCTTTTTTACAATAAACTTTGATGAAACCAAAGGCACATTAAACCCTGGTAAAAATACATGCGTAATATTTCAATATTGAAATGAAAAAAGCAAAGCCAGTAGGTAATTTTACAGATTTACGTTTATTCACATTATTTTGTAAATTTACTTATTGGTAAATTTACTGTCTCTTATGTAAATTTACTGTCTCTTATTTTATTTTAGTATTCCATAGCAACGAACCATTCCTAATAATTATTTTCTTATAGTATTCATTCTAATTTATTAACCATAATATGGATAATCACATTTTGTGAAATTTGGTATATTGCATGTTATATATATTTAATTTTCTTTATTTATACGATCTAAAACGTGTATTATTATTCATCGTACGTTGATCAGATTGTAAGTATGTTCATTAACGTATAAAAAAAATGTTTTGACTATCTTGTCATAGATTGTATTATCTCGTAAACAAGGTCAATTGAAGACGGTTAATTAAACCGATTGGCCAGTGTTAGCTTGACTGTCTCTAGAGCAGAGTTACAATGCCTGCAGTAGACAGTACCATAAGCTTACATCTAAAATCCTGGAACGGAAGTTAAAATCATTTTGGGTTTTTTTAACATTTGTCTGTAATTTTTCATTTACTGCTTTTAGGTAAATTTACATTGGGAAGTTTAAAAACAAACTTACTGTAACCGTTCATTTACTGTGTTGCGGTGAATTTACAGTCCAAAGTTAAAAAACATTTACTGTTTTAAGGTAAATTTACTCACAAAGTCAAATTACAGAAACTCTGTAATATTACAGCTGAATGTTTATTTACAGTAAATTTACTGGCAACTTTTGCTGCCAGTAATTTTCATGTAAATTTACCAGATTTTTTCTAACAGTGTACAATCATATTGGTGAACATAATAAAACTGGTCTGGATAGTGGTGGCTACCATCATATTGGTGGTAATCTCGGACGTCAAGGGATAACGGACGTCACATACAATCATATTGGTGGTAGTCATGGACACCCAGTTGTTGCTGATGGTACTTACAACCATATAGGGGGGAGTCATGGACATCCAGTTGTGGCTGACGGTACATACAACCACATTAGTGATAGCAATGGGCACCCAGTCGTGGCTGATGGTACATACAACCATATTGGGGATAGCCATAAACATTCAGTCGTGGCTGATGGGACATACAACCATATTGGTGATAGTCATGGACATCCAGCCATGGCTGATGGTACATACAATCACATTGAGGGCGACCATACCGTTGATAAACAAGAAGGGAATTATTCATTGGCTAAACGTATTTAATTTAAATCATTGGGTACTAAACATAAATAATATAATATAAAGATATAACTGGTTACTAAACATATTTTTAAATATGTAATATAATATAAATATATCAATCAGTGGGTACAAAACATAAATATATGACTGGGTACATAATTACTAGTATGTAGAACAGTAAATTATTGTTGTACTTAATATACCTATTAAATAATAAATTAGCATATCTATTGAACATGATTATAGACCTTGGATACAGTTATTACTACGTGCTCTAGCTTCCGGTCGTGATTTAGATCTCTGAGCGTATGTGGCTTGGAGATAGGGACGCCTTCGCAACCTCTTTGGTTTACTTTGGGTACTCCGGTTTCCTCCCACAGGACCCCTGTGCGTGCGCTAAAGGTGATAAATTTAGACGTCATGTCTCTGCTAGACTGTTAATAAGGGCTGATACAAGATGACTCACAATACGCATGTCTTTCAGTGAATTCAACCTGACATTATACACTTTGGTGGATTATTAAAGTAAAACATTATATTTGAGGGTTGATTTATCGTTATAGCAACCACATTCGGAGACTATAATTACCCGACCCAATAATTAATAAAAATTAATAAAAGTTATGTGTCACAATGGTCTAAATATAGTTCTTACAGTCATCAATAATTATTTTATCTTGTTTGCTAACTTCATTTTATGATAATTCTGTGATTGGTTAATGCGGTTTTGTATGGAAACTCTTTATTCAGTTTTCTTAATTCTTAATTGAAAGTCCCTAAATCTTGTGTCTTCATTTGTTGTCGTATTTCGACATTTGTGGACTAAATTTAACATTTGTATCTTTAACCCAATATTAAAAATAGACTACGTTCAATTTATGCTAGATCGGATTAACCCATACAGTTAGACATATAACAACACAACTCTATAGATTAGCCATACCACACACCTCATTTCACTACAATCACGGTCATCGAGCGATTCCCCATTATTGTATGGTGACTTATTGTATGCCAGGTTGATTTCGGCTCAGCTCTAGCGTCCTCCGTTGTCTTAATGTTGCGGTTCGATGTAATTGCAGAAATGTTTTGGGAGAAACGTTTTGAAAGATTGGTATTTGGAGATTTGTTTTTCGTTGTATGTCTATAATCAAATCTAAAAGTAGGTTATTTTTTTTTTTTATTTTCTAACATAAACCTTATCTTTATATTAAAATACAATTAAATTAAACAAAAATACAATTAACAAATCTGATATATGAATTTTACTTTTAGTATACAAATGTCGAAATACGACAACAAATGAAGAATTTAGAATTAAGAACTGTGAATTAAAAACTATAAATTAAAAAAAACTGAATAAAGAGCTGATTGGTCTTCCATAGTTTAGAAATACGACTTATTATTGGATGCGTCACACGCGAATTTCCAGTATTCTATTTTTAGACGACTTCCGTATCAATATTTGAGGCTCTATTTATAGATTGATGGTATTTTTCCGTTTGTATTACTTTTTTCATACATTTTAACATTTTGTATTATCATATTGTACATTACAAATAGAATATATACTTATGCAAAACAGCTACTTGTGTATTTAAGACGAAGTTTTGAAGATTATTCTCTCAACGTTATCAAGCTAATACAGTAATACATATATGAGGCAAGTACACTATTAGCTTTTTCCATAAATATATTGTGTTTTTTTGTTTTGTTTTTGTTTTTTTTTATTCTATCCAGTTACTGAATGACATTTAAAGATTATATTATAATTGTATTCATTATGTTAACATTGTAACTTATTGTATTAATTCTGTTATACATTGTAATTTTTGGTATTGATTTTGTTACACATTGTAGCTTTTTGTATTAATTCTGTTATGGATTGTAATATTTTGTATTATTTTTGTTAGTAATTGTAATATTTTGTTATAAATATGTATTACATATCTCTGGTGTAGCATATCATACATAAGATGTAGTGGTTATTAAACATCATATCTCTGGTATAACATGTGATATAACATTTGCCTGTAGTGCATAAAAGTGATTATATGTGGTATAGCAAATTATAACCTGCACGTGTAGTGATTAAAAAAATATATATATTATTTAATGTGAGTCCAGATTTTTAGCAAATAAAATTGTCTTCTTAATGTTTTCTATTTAACAATGCCGGTGCCCTGGACGAATTTTAACACCGGGCTTTTAAAATTGGCTATTTTACTCAAGAACTCTTTTATGTTTTTACCCCATTTTATTACTTCGTCAAGCGTAAATGATCTTAACTGAATCAACCTATAATGTGTATTATATTGGACGTTAAAATTTGTAATACACAGTTACACAATTATATAACACAGGTACACTATGATACTACACTACACGGCCTTAACCATGTCATGTATATGTATAAATTATACTATTCCATGTATAATAAAACCTACACATGTCAACTGTTACACATTGCTGTACACATAAGTGAACCAAATCGAACGTGAGTGGCGTGTTATCTTATTATGTCAAGTATGTTTTCATTACGTTAAATATTCTAACGAGCTAGTTCGTATTTAAACGAAACAGAAAGAAGTAAACAAATGTTAACACATTGTCGATATATTGACAATACAATTCTCTAGCAGGTAATTCAAAGATATATGATTCAAATAAACATATTCTTCTGTCTAATATCCTTCACCTATTGAATGCATTATTATTACCACGTTCGGAACATTGGTTCAGTGCGTCATTTTATAAGAATAGATGCCACAGCATCTCTGGTACGACGTCTTATTCTTTCTC